CATTGTATAGGTATCTGTGTACTAGCTACTATAAAATACCTATAGTATCATACAAAAAATGTAATCTCATAAACATACCTATATAGTATATTATATACTATAACGACATACTTTCAAACTTTTATTTGTATTATTTTTGTACCTATTTTAACTGACATTTTATTTATCTAATAATAAAATATATGACATAATGAAATTGTTTTGATTATAATATATGTATAGTATAATAGGTAGGTACTCAATAATTACTCAAAATAAATAGGTACTCAAATTAAAAAAAAAAGAATAGTATAGTAATTTGTATTGTAGTAAGAATACTTTTTACCTCGGTATGTACCCACCTTGCTTTTTAGATTATTCGCTAATGAATCTTCTTAATACTTTAGGATAGGTACTGCGTGCAGATTCCGATAATAAATTAATAACTATTATTTACCTCTAGTTCTTATTCTAGGTATAATTACTATATAAATGATAAATCTAAATGAAGTCTATCTAGGTACCATATTACTACAACAAACTAATAAAAATAAATTTCAAACAAATTCACAGATTGGATGTGTTAAAAATCGAACCTAATATAGTGGAGAGGTGTGAGGTTGTTAAAATAATACTTTTTCTTTTTATTACAGATATTAATTATATGTTTTGTATATATGGCTATAAAAAAGTCTTTTAGACCATAAAGATTAGTATATGTTTAATGTATATCTCAATATTAAATATATAAAAAATTAGTTGATAAATTTAAAATTAATAAGTTATATAGTTCATATTAGGTATACCAACAATGTTAAATCCCATGCACTTTTTCTGTTTATTGTTTTTATATACTTATTTATTATTCTAATGTAGTGATAATTATTGTATCATATATATCAGGTGTTAAATAAGATATACATTATTTAAATTAAAATTTTATTGAAATTAGTGGTAGGTACCTATTAAAATTGAATTGAATTTAAAAACACACAATTATGAAAAATAATACGTATTAAAAACCATTTTAAATTTTATTATATTTATGTAATTAATTATAAATTATTTGTATTAATAATAATTTATGTACATAAATATAATAAAATTTAAAATGGTTTTTGCGGCACACTGCCTAGCTAGGTATACACCTTTATTAAGTAAAGATTACTATATATTGAATTCAAACTTAGGTATATTATTATTTTATATAGCTATGCCCAGAAAGCGCCTTGAATTTCATAAGCTATCGAATAGGAGCAAAAGAAGACGTATAAATGAAGAGACTGATTCTTTGCACAAATCTGACTCTTCATATACAAAAAACTGTAGTAGTTCTAATTACAATAATGATTATAATGAAGAAAATTATGATTTTGAAAACGATAATAGTGACTGTTCCTATGAAAGTAAACAGTCTACTACCTGCACATCCAAAAATATAATTGAAGACACAAATGAAATCCAGGATAATGTTGAAGTAGTTAAATCATTCATGTTTCCATCTAGTTCTGACGAAACAAATATTTTATTTCATTCTGACTTTGGTTCATCTCCATCGTGTGCAGTAAATTCGACCTTAATGTATAACGAAGAAGAAACATCTACTGATATTAAAACATTTCTTCGTACTTGGGCTATTAAATATAATATTACTTATGCTTCATTATCTGCTCTATTAGTTGGCCTGAAAGGAAATGTTGAAAGTTTATTGGTAGTATTACCTTCAGATGCTAGAACTTTATTAAAAACAAACATAACATTTGATAAAATCATAGTTGAACCAGGCATCTATTTACATTTTGGTTTAGAAAAGCAGTTATTACGTTTAGTTGATAATGTTTCAATAGATTACATAGACAACAGTTTAAAATTATTAATAAATATTGATGGACTGCCCTTATTTAAAAGTTCGGCTGGTCAAGTAATTCCAATATTGGTTTTAATTGTAAATATACCTATTTTAAGTAAAATAGTATTTCCTGTGGGAATGTACTATGGATTACAAAAACCAAATGACATATTTAAATTTCTTCAATCTTTTATTAATGAAATAGTAGAACTAAATATACGAGGTATAACAACTAAAAATAAAAAAAAATTAAAAATACAAATAGTTGGTTTTTGCTGTGATGCACCGGCAAAAAAAGATATACTTGGAATCAAAGGGCATAGTGGCTATAATTCATGCACTAAATGTACTGTTCGGGGTACTACAGTTGACAAAAAGCGAGTTTTTACAGATCTTAATTGTACGTTGAGAACTAATGAAGATTTTCTAAATTGGTCTGATACTAACTATAGACTACATGAAACTCCTTTAACAAAAATACCAAATATTGATTTTGTTCATTCATTTATATTAGATTACATGCATTTGGTATTATTAGGAGTCATGCGTACATTATTGTTAACCTGGTATAGTGGAAGTATTCCACATAAATTGTCACAAAAATTAATACAAGTTATATCAGACTTCATGATAAATAACCGAAATAGCTTAACAGAAGAGTTTGTAAGACAGCCAAGAGACTTAAAATATTTATTAAGGTGGAAAGCAACTGAATATCGTACATTTTTATTATATACTGGACCAGTGGCTCTTAGAGGAGTTTTAGATGAAAATAAATATAATAATTTTTTGACTTTACATGTTGCAATATCAATTTTATTAAACTCCAGAAACTGCAGGAATAAAGAAATGCAAACATATGTCAAGAGTCTTCTTCTTCATTTTGTTCAAAGCGTTATGGTTTTATATGATAAAAGCTTTATAACACACAACTTCCACGGACTTATACATCTGGTTGATGATGTAGAACATTTTGCTCCCATGATTAATTCATTTACATTAGACTCGATATCGGCATTCCCATTTGAAAATTTCCTCCAAAGTATAAAAAAAATGGTTAGAGGAACAAACAAGCCTTTGGAGCAGATTGGAAAACGGCTTGGTCAATTGTTTTCAGAATATCCTTCTCTTTTTAAGTCGGCTGCTAATACATCTGATTTGTTTCCTAAATTAAAAAATATTCATGGTAATGGTCCCCTTCCTCCTAATTGCAGAAGCCCTCAGTACACTATTTTAGAGTTTCAACATTTTAGCATTAGAATTAGTCCACCTAACAATTGCTGTAGAATTAAAATCTAGCGAAACCACAGCCGCCTACTGTGAGTTTCGCGACCGTGGACGCACGGTATAGATCGCGTCCTCGGGTTGCGGATAGAGGAAAGCCCGGTTCCCTCGGTAGCTTCCGAGTCGGGTAGCTGGCGAATAACTAATAACCAGCCGCGGACAGCTTCGATTAAATGACCCGTAGTTCCGGACAGTATGTCCTCTGGGCCGGTTCACGGTCGCCGGCTGGGCAACCGACCCAGGCGGTGGTGCTCTCAATATGAGTTGAGGGCACGGGCGCCGGAGTTCGCTCCGTCCAGCAGCCGGGCGTCTCAGCGTAAGCCGGGTTTGGGCATGTCTCCGGGACACTGCGGTGAGTGTTACGGGCTCGCGGCTGATGGCTCGTCTGCTTAGAGTCCCTAATTCGGTAGGCGAGGGTGGTCGTCGCAAAGTGTCCCACCTTTGACTGAAAGGTAGGGCTGTCGTCAGCTTGGGCTGGGCGCCTCGGCTCGGCAGGCATCCGGGTCGGGGCGTTTGGCCAGACCGACCCGAGGACACGGGTCCTTGCTGAAGATAGTTCGAAAGGGTGGTGGCCGAGATTAATTTCGCACCTCGCGGATGCCCGTCCGCGGTTAAGGCAAACCAATGCCCGTTTTGCCGACAGAACTGGTAGACTCTGAGGGGGCGAAAGTCTGACTGAAGACGCTTCAGTGCCACGGGAGTGAGTGGGGCCCCGTCGGTAACGACGCCACTCACCGCGGGCGTCCAGTGATGGTTCACGCCCCTGGACGTCCGTTGCCGGTAGGAATCGTGGTGGTTGTATTCTTGCGAATACTTTGTGGTTAAGTCAATAGATGCTTATTCTAAGTTCTCGCTGACAGGCGAAAACCTCTGATGAACGGCCGCCACGTCCCGGGGGCGCGAGTCACCGGTACGTTGTCGGTTTCTCTCGGGCGTCTAGCCGCTATACCGGTGTAGTATCATCGGAGGTTGAGTGTAACCAGAAACACTCGGTGTGGGGATAGCGCACAGCCAGACCAGGCGAATTCAGGCGGCACTCGGCCTGTCTTCTTGGTACGGGACCTCGGTCCCGGTGCTCGTGGTCCGTAGACGACGCGCGGTCGGCGGACTGGGCCACCGTACGTCGACCGTGAACCTCCGCGGCTCTCGAGTAGCGCACAGCGCTAATGTGAGGTCCGTGGTTGTAGCCGCAAGGCGTCAAAACCCGGGAGTCTTCGTGCTGTAGAATTAAATCTGGTGATATAATAATGATTGAAAATATTTGCTTTGATAATAAATCGAATATAGTTATAGTTGGAAGGAAATTTTGTATAAAAAATGATTTTTATAAAATACCTTGTAAAAGTTCATCAATTGGTATTTATGAAGTACAAAAAATATCAAATAATCTTGAAATTTGGTCTATTGATGAAATTGATATAAAATATGTTTATTTTCCATATAAACAAAAGTTTATAACATTTCCTCTATTACATTTATCATAATTAATTTTCATATATATATTATTTTTGTTTCTAAATAATATATCATTCTGTATTTATAATTATATCATAATAGACTAACTATGATATTATATAGTAACTTATTATACCCTATGTAACTAAGTAATAATATAATAATCTTTAACTTTTACATAAAATATGTATAATTGTATATACCTAACTATTACCATGAATTTTATTTTAATATTTTGTTTTACTATACATCTTATAATATTCCTTAATTCCTTCTATTGTTTTAATTTTAATAACTTATAGGTTAGTTGAATTAATATATTTTATATCATACCTTTATATACCTGTAATTAGTATATTATATATAGGTACACAATAACATACATCATTATTGTTGTTATATTATAATAATATAAACTACATTTTTTTTCAGAATGTGGACTTTAATAACTTTATATGAACCACCATATGATCATGAGACCACAGAGTTAATACCAAATGCGTGGTTAATAAACAATAAATATTGTTGGTATCCAATATCATTCCGACTATCTACAATAAAAAGTCTTGCTAAATCTGAAACATCGCCAAATTTTGATCAGTGGGACAAATGTAAAATTGACATTCTTGAAAATAATATTGGTAAGCTATATAATTATATATAATAATTAACAAATAGTAAACTAGGTAGGTATATACAAACAATTTAATTTGTATTATGTTTCAGATAATTATGAGTATGGCTTAAAAATAATGCTCAGAGCAGCTAAAAATAAGCCATTGCATTCTGAACATGAACAAAATAAAGGTCGAGGAAAAAGAATTAAAAAAAAGTCTACATATTTAGAATTAGGTAAAAATTCTAGCAGCCCTTCTAACTCTGATGATGATGATGACAGTAATGATAGTTATCAGCAATCAAAGAAGCAGAAGAAGTTAGTACAAAATGAATTATTGTCGTTAGATGAGTATCCTACATTCCCATTAAATCAACAAAATATAGCAAGTAATTATTTTGGAAAAAAAACACTTACTGTAAATCCATGTTAAATTTTAGAAGTTTACTAAAGAAAAATTGTTTATTTAATAAAAAGGTACTTCCAACGATGATCAATTATCAAAAAAACAAACATTCATTGAAATTGAAGATTTTTCAGATATATTAGGAAGTATAATGAAGAAATCTACGACTGAAAAAAATGGTGAGTTATAACTTATTATTCATTAATTAATATCTTAAACTATAATATACTTTTTAAAATTATTTTTATTGTAATTAATTTATTATTATTATCATAGACATTGAGAAACTACAGAATGATGATGAATTATTTGGTACTGAAAATTTGATTAGTTTTGATTGTAAACTGTTACCAAAGAAAAATAACCGTGGCCATAGTTGTTTTTTTGAACATATCTCGGATACAAATGATACTAATGCTTTAATAGTTGCTTTGGGCCATACAATGTGCATGATATCTTGTATGTATATATATTAAATTATTTTACAACATTTTTTCAATTCTGTATTGCATTATATTATATCATTATTTAGTAAATTATAGTTATAATATGTAGATCATTTTATACTATTTTATGTAGCTGATATTGAAAAGTTGAAAAAAAATTCAATTTTTATGAAAAAAGAGTTGGAATCATATATGGTTGAATTACTTGACAGTCGTGCCCGTGATGATGATGGTAAAAATAATTCATTTACAAGTAACAAATGTCAAGAAGATAATATTTTATCTTCTTTTCCTTTTAAAAATGAAAATGATTTGAATATGATGGAAAAACAACTCCAATGTGAAGATCTACGTTTTACTGATAAATTGGTATGTATAATAAAATATACCTATAATTATATAGATATACATATATATCATATAATATAACTTAAATTGTATAAGAATATTTAGTGTATTTTACCAAGGATTATCGTATCATATTATTCAATTTTTATATAGATTTCAGCATTTGTATTTGCTTCCGAAGGGAAAACAATTTCCAAAGTCACAAACAATCTCCTAAAAACCATCTTCACTAACGAACTTGCATCAATGTACAGTTGGAAAGGTCAAAAAAATAAAAAAAAACTTGAGGATTTACACATTTCAAAAGTTATCATCGGTATATGCTTGCAATATATATTATTATACTTTACCTAAATGCTTATAAATCTAATTTCATGGTCATATTATTGTAGGTATAGTTAAAATCAATTAATAAAATGTTATATTATTTTATTTAGCGGCAGTTCGTAAAAAATTTGACAATATTCATAATTGCAAACAAGAAACAATAACAAGTATTATGAGTTGGATGGCCCAGGCACCTACTAGAATACAAAGGTAAATTAATTATTTGATGGATTTAATAACCTAACATGTACACATGTTAATATATATATATATTAAAAACATATTATTAAAAAACGTATTTACTGATATTATAATATTTGTATGTTACAGATCAAATTCAACAAAATCAAATACTGCAGATCTCAATAACACTGCAAATGCCAATGATTGATCATTATTTTAAACATATATAATAATAAAAAAAATTTTGTACCATAATATTACATGATATTAAAAAGTATAATTAATTCTATCATAATCAGCAATAACATTTTTTAGTTTTTATTACTTATTAGTTATTAACCATAACTGCCTATTTTACCTTATAAGGTATTTTTGTTTTGTTATTTTTTTTTTAAAATTTCTTTTTAGTATATTAAATAAATTTAAAATTACTATATACCTATAGAAGATATAACAAAGGTTTTTTATTAAGTTGGATGTATACTTTTATTTTTTGAATATGAATTTCAAACTTATAACTTAAATGATTCAATTATATTATTCATTTTTTAATTTTTTTTTTTTTTTTTGTTATTGCAATACAAAAAAAAAGTCCATGGACTGCATTATATAAGTTTGATAATAAATAAGGTTTGATTATTTTATATATTATGTATATTTTTTTTATAAATATCCTACTAAAATGTTTTTATTTATTAAAACATATTATTAATAAAATTTTAAATCACTGTTAATAAACATAATTCTATATAGGAAAAGTTTGTTTTTATAACATTTCAAAAATAAATTTAAAATGTTTTCAAAGATTTCTAAAAGATTATTATGAAAGAAGAAAAAAACATTTTTTAAACATTTAATACAAAATCCACTATAGGCCAGTGTTACATTTTAAAAATACATTTAAAATATTTTCAAAACATTTTAAAAAGATTATGAAATCAGAAAAAAATATTTTTTTAACATTTAACACAAAATCCACTGTGGTCTTTATAACATTTTAATAATATATTTTAAATGTTTTCAAAACATTTTTAAAAGATTATTATGTAATCAGAAAAAAACATTTTTTTAACATTTAATAAAAAATCCATTGTTGGCCATTAAAACATTTTAAAAATGAATTTTAAATGTTGAAAAAAACATTGTTGAGATATTATTTACAACATTTTAAAAATGTTTATTTGCTGTCTGGGTTTAGTTTTTTTTTTATATAATGGTAGGTATTAAACAATAAAAATCTAATATGGTTAATTTTAAAGTAAATCATTATTCATTATCATCAATTTATTTATTTATTTTATTTAGTTAATACTAAATACTTAATTATTAATTGGTGACCGGTTTTCTGACTTCTGAGATCTGAGCGCCGAGCGGAGCGATTTTTTTTTTTAAATTTGCAACAATGTTTAATGTTGCCAGTAGCCAGTGGCAAGTCACTTGCCACCCTGCAGTCGATGACCGATGGTAAGTTGGTAAATAGGAAAATGCAGAAAGTTGGAACAGAAGCGCTATTAAAATAGCGGATTAAATAAGTACTAAAATGTCCTCTGTAAGCGGGCACAATAATAAGCAAAGAGTCCCGACCTTATCTTCTAAGGCCGTGGTACCGAGCACGGACTAAGATATACAGGACTGGACACGACAAGGTTGGAGGGTGTGGGGGGTTGACTACGAAATGTTTTACAACAGGCAGTGTTTGGGGGGATATTTCCTTTTAGCATTACTAGCGCCGTCCTAGTGGATACTTATGGAACTAGAAAACATCATACAAATTTCTAGTTCCATAAGTATCCACTAAGACGGCGCTAGTAATGCTAAAAGGAAAATATCCCCCCGAACTCCGCTGTTGTAAAACACTTCGTAACCACAATATTCATCGCGTGTCCAGTCCTGTATATCTTAGTCCGTGGAACCGAGTAATATTTTAACGACGTAATTTATATTTTTAATTTCAATCAATTATTTTCCCTATAAATGAACAAACTATATTGCTTTAAGTGTAAACAAAAAATAGATAATATAAGTCCACTTATAATAAAAACTAATCACAACAGGAAGAGATTGTCTGCAAAATGTAAGCTATGTAGAACATTAAAATCAGGATTTATTAAGTAGATTATGACATAAACTAAATTGCTATCCATTTTCTATGTTTAGCATCAAATCGCTATTATGAATGAAAAGCAATGTATTCTAATTTATTTAACTTAATTTATATAGAATTGTACTATAACATGAACAAATATTCTAGTAACCTGAAAAAATTCCAAAATATTGTAATATTAAATAATCAAAATCATAAAATTCTTTTTTTAATCGGTGATCTAAAAGCTCTTGCATGGACGGAACATTTTTTATGTTAAACTTGGAAGTAATAGAGTAATTGTGGAGTTGTTTTAAATTATAGGAATCTCCCCAAATAGTTATAGAATATTGTAAATGAGATTGGACTAAGGCAGAGTATACAGTTTTTTAAAACTTGATTCTATTGCAACATTAAAAACTGGTAATGATTTATTAATTTTGGAAATTATTTTTTCTAATTGAATTTTCCAAGTAAGTTCACGATCAATTATAACACCTAAATATTTATATTCCTCAACCATTTCGAGATTCTGACAATTACAAATATTTGGAATATTAAAAGTTTTTTTTTACAATGGTAATTATGAATTGTTAAATTGTTCTTTTTGTCTATTTTTTGAATTTTTCCGAAAAATCTATAAATTGCGTTTTGGAGATATTAAGAGATAATTTATTTTCCATTGACCAGTTTTTAATTTTAAGAAGATCGTTATTTGCTTTTAGATATAGATCATTCGGGTTATCTGCATCTACCACTAAGGCAGTATCGTCCGCGAAAAGAACTAAGTTTCCGTTTAATTTAATATTTGTTAAACTGTTAATATAAATAATAAAGGTCCAAGACAAGTTCCCTGCGGAACTCCACAAGTAATTAATTTTTTAACAGATTTTGTTTTACCTAATTTTGTGCAACATGTTCGTTTTTCCAGATAAGATTTAAGTAATTTGTATGCAACTCCTCTTATGCCTATATTTTCCAATTTTAATAACAATAAATTATGACCAACAGTATCAAAAGCTTTTTTTAGATCTAAGAAAACAACAAGCTTATATTTTTTATCTGTTTTAATATGTGAAATTAATTTAGTTATAGCGTCTTCAGTGCTTCTTCTTTCCCGAAAACCAAATTGTGAACTAGACAGTAAATTATTTTTATTTAAGAAATTAGTTATTCTAGTATAGATGCATTTTTCAAAAATTTTTGCAATATTAGATATTAAGGATATTGGTCGATAATTATTCGGATCAAACTTACTTCCAACATTTTTATATATAGAAACAATATCTGCGTGTTTAAATTCACTCGGAAAATAATTATTTTCAACAAATAAATTAAACATACACGATAAAGGAACAGATATAGATTTTTTTTTGGATTTTAATAATTCTACACTAATTTTATCGGAGCCTGGAGCTATATTATTTTTGAGAGAATTAATTTTGAGTATTATTTCATCTGGAGTAATTGATTCGAAAAAAATAGAATTAACAGAATAATTGCATTTAGTTTTTAATTTGGCTTCCATAATCCATAGAAGGTATTTTAGAAGCAAGTTTAGGACCTATATTTACATAATGATTATTTAATATATTACAATCAATGTCGATAATAGTTTTCTTTTTATTAATTTTTAAATAATTGCAGAGCAACTCCCATTGATTTTAGGATTTTTTTTTGTGAATAATATTAATTTGTTTTATAAAGTAACTTTCACGTAAAATTTTGATATAGTGCATAATTTTTGATTTGTAAAACACTCCTAGAGATTGTTTTTTTTCTAATTAATTTATTACGTATTTTTATAGAAGCAATAATTCCTTTTGTAATCCAAGGATTACAGACTGTTTTCGACAAAGTTGTTTTATTATAATTATAATTATTTGGTTTATTAAAATATTTCGATAAAAATGTATTTACATATAGTTCCGTGAATCGTGATGGAGTTGGTCGTTCGGTGTAATACTCCCCTACGTTTGTCATGATTTAGCATCAATTCGCTATTGTATGACTAATTTAAGGGAGAAATACATATTTTATTTGCAGGTGTTAACTGTGTTAGCCGTTTATAGGCATACTGCAAATGACAAAAATTCCACTGCGTGGCCTGTATTTATAAACTAAATTATCTCTAGTAGTGTTCATACAATCGGCTCTCATTGGCTGTATTCTGCTCATTACTCTTGATTGAGAATATTATAAATGACATATTTACTATGAAAACGTTGAAAACCAGGAATGTGAAGGACAATCGGTGACCACACCCAAAGTGTCGTCCTGGAATTCACACTCAACTACACAGTTTGCACAGCTGTTCTGCTTATTTAATTTGGTTTTAATATATATTATATTTCCTATAACGATAAGCAAATATATGGCGGAAGCTGCTTGGCTGTAATGTTTAAAATATATATAAATTGTTTGAATAATTTTCTTGGAATATTTCTAAATTCTGTATTTTTCTAATGTTTTCTAAAATGTATGTAATTTTGTATAAAATATGTGAAATATCATTGTATTTGTATATAAATTGTATACAAAAAAGCACTCAAAATTCGATGTAAAAAAATCAAAATTTGTTGTAAAAATGTTAAAATAAGCTAGTTTTAAGTTGATTTTTTGATTGTAAAAAAAACCGACTGCGCCAGAACATACATAATGTATCTACTGCCCTTCTTATGTGCCTTCTTAAACAGTGTAAGGTCACTGTTTCCCCACAAATAATTTGAGTGTGGTGTGCTGTTAATAATTCTGTTCTAAATTCTTGAAAGAATTCCAGTGTTTGCAGTGTCAGTTGAACTGAGCGTGGTAGAGGTGGTATGTTTATACTCATTTCTTATATTTTTTAGTTCTACGTGTATGTTTTAAATATTTGTTTCTTCTTCTTAATTTATGAAATAGTTAAAAGTTATTTGTTATATAATTGTTACATTTGTAATTATTTATAGAATAATATTTTATTTATTATTTTTATTAATATGTTACGTATTTCTTTTCGTTTTGTATGTTTTATATTATTTTTTATTCTATATGTTTATTTATTATTAATTAAATTTAAAGTAAATAATTCGTTATGACTAGTGACTACTCTTAATATATTTTATTCTTATCTTGGCGATGGTGGT